GACAGTCCGTTGCTTTTCTAGTAAAATAACGGGTGAAGGCAAAAGAGGCTGATCTGCCTAATGATGGGGAATCCAAATTGGGTTATTGCTCCTCAGAGCCACTCATTTGACTAAACTGGACTATCTTCGCAGTAAGAGGTTATGAGCTCTCTCTTCTCTTTGCCTATGCTCATTTTTCTGTAACGATTTAGAAGGATCCGCAATTTTCTCTCTAGTAGCTGACGTGTATAAATGATGAGTCAAAATTTTTCTGTTGAGCAAGGAAGAGTGAGGTTTCTTGCATTTTTATAACAAGCTTGACACCAATGGAGATGTTCGTTGAATGAAAGATGATCCGGCTTAGAATATAGCTCTTAAGCTACTCACTCTTTTCAGAAAATCTCTTCACCCCTGTTTTCACCCATACCCGATATCCTTCTTTGCAGGTCCGTGTATGGTGTACACCGAAGAAGTCACGATTAGCTGTGTGCTGTATCTTCATCTCAGCTGTGCTTTATAATTTTGCGAGATTTTTTGAATATCGATTAATGTGAGTTGCGTCACACGATTATAGCCGTGATGAATCCTCCGGGATTTCCTAGACAATTAACGGCATCTTTCATCTTGCACTTCTTGAGAACATATGGATCCATCATGAAAAACATAGTAATTTAGACATACTCCCGATGGTGCAATCTATGAACGATGGCTTCGCGATACAGCTAATTATCGGTGAGTGTTCGATGATCCTAAAGAGTTGGCGGGGAAATCAAAATGAACTTGCTATAGAAGGTAAGAGAAGGCAGGAGTACGGGTATTGCCATAATAACATAATACAGTATTTCACGGAAGTAGTGATGTCCTTTCATAATTTGGCTTATTCTTCCACCTGTCTACCACGACACGCGATATTACCGTATTCACCTCGATGTACCTAACAATAAGAGACCGTAGTAAAATAGGATGGGGTTATGTCAGAGAGCTTGTGATGAGAGGCTCTGTCTAGGCCACACTTTCGCAGAAGGGCCTGAAAACAGCTAAGAGACAATTAAAAGTTTCTGCTGATCGGCTTTCGAGGGGGGCATTTCACAGTGTGCGAGGCGCTGCTGATTGGAAGAGGTTACCTGTTCACAACAGTTAATTCTACCGGTCTCCTTCGACAAAATGTGGTTGCATAAAAATATTAAATCAAATATGTGCGGTAGTCCATTAAAAATTCGGTGAAATGTGGCTCTGCACAAGTCAGTAAGGGCGCTAGGTTCCACGTATTGGCCACACTCTTCCATCCTATTAATTTCTAGATCCCTATGGTTTTTTTTCCATTTTTTTTGCCAACGAATTTTTCTTCCTTCCTTCATGATTCCGTATACATTTTCTCCAAAATATTCCAAATTTATTTCAGAGGTTACTATATCGGCTACTACACGATACTCTATGTTGTGACACATTTTCTTCTTCCATTCACCATCATGGCTGTGTTGAACGGCTCCGTAATCGTGACGATGTGGAAAGGTCGTCAAATGCGGCAAATGCTAACCAGACAGGCATGCTTGCCATCCGACTACTTCATTCTTATCTTCTACATCTCAAACTTTTTTGTAAAACCGCTCCCATATTGAGTTGACATCAATTATACAGTAATTCTTCACCAAAATTCCCTAGACGACATTGGTTCATCTTCTTTCCCTTCCCAGATGTCTCCTATTTCGTCACTGTCATTCCCGAGAATTTGTCTTAGTGAACAGTGCATGGCAGACCATACTGCGTTTGTCAAATGACGTCAATCTGCCTCCGCTGGATTCCTGAATTCAGGCGCTCCTCATTTCTGCTCTGAGCCTAACCGGGTAATGCACCAAGGTTTTTAGGAGCGGCAAGGGTAAATCTATTCCCTCAAAATGACTCGCTGATTGTACTGATTCAAAATGAAACATTGTGCAGCAGGTGGTGGGAGCGCTGCAGCTCCCAACTGCCCGCCCTGAGCATGGAAGAATAGGAACATTTAGGCAGAAATCCTAAATTGGTGGGACATTTCACATGACTGAAGCTATTCTATTCCCTTTTAGAATCGGACACCATTTTCCCAGTACTCGAACTAGAGCCCAACATACGTGGTGTCAGATTTATGTATTGTCTGCCTACGTAGTTGTTTTATTGGTAAGCACTATACGATCCACGTCTTGCTCAACGGTTCCTTGAAGCGCCCACTTCATACACCGCCTGTACTTTGAAGCGATAACATGTAAAAGTTATATGTAATATTCGAAAATATTAATGTCACTTCATTTTCAGCAGCAGCGAGAACAATCGACGACCGTAATGCTTTTGGTGATCACAATCTTGTTTGCCGTATGTAATACGTTACCGTTTATACTGAACGTGGTCGAGAGCGTATTTCCGGATATTTTCGTCGATCCGGTGAGTGACGTAGAATTATTGTGAATCAAGCAGTGAACATAAAAAACGGTTTTTGCTTACAAACGGGGTTGGAATGTCGGGACTGTAGCGGGTTCGTCATATATAGCTGATCCAGCCGTCACCTGCACCACTTGATTATCCATTTAAAAGTCAAAATTTCGATATCTATGAAAATAAGCATTTCATAATATTTCAACTGTCTACAGGGGTGTATCCATGCCCACGTACGAAATGAAACAAATTTTTCTGCGCTCGGATTTTTCGCAAGGTCCTGGTTTTCTTGATCAAAACGGAGTTATTGGAGCAGGGAAGCGGCTTTTCAAGAGGGGAAAACCAGAATTCGAAACTCAGCCATATCGAGTTCAAGGCACCAGCTTCTCGGTACACTACGAATCAATATAAATCTCAAATTTCGGTCAAAACGTTTCTGCATTTTATTTGCTTAGTTGTTGCTTTACTAATTATTTACTTACCTATTTTTCAAACATTCAGTTTCCCATCGTCTCTTTTCCCAAGTATTCTGTTTAGTTAGTGAGGTTTTGTCGTTTATTTGTTTAGATATCAACATTATTATTTATTTAAGTGCCTTTTATTTCAATTACTTTCTCACGCCTCTTTCTCCGACGTGGGATCTTCAGCAAAGTCAAAAAAGCAGCATTAGCAGAAAATCTGAAACTCAGAGGTTTGATTTCAGCGAACCACCCATATCGCCTATACCGTCAACGATCTGTCAAACTTGTTGGTCGTCTTGAACTCAGCCACAACTTTCCTGGTTTACTTCACGTTCTCTGAGAAATATCGGCAAACCTTCATCTTCATCATAAAGTACGGTATCTAATGATCCAACTTGTGATAAACAACTGAGAAACAATATTTTTCCAGGAACGGTTGTTGTGCCTCGATTTCCGACTACAACACATATACGGCGATGTCACGAACTGCTTCTATGCGTGTAAATAACAGCACTAGCGATCTACAAAGAGCGGGCAGCAAAAAGAGCACAAGCAGGTGAATCTGGTTAACTTCCTTCATCCTCTGGGATTGAACTGAACCGTTTATAGCTCACTCCTCATGAGAGGGTACCTATACTGTAAAAGCAAGAATTCACTCTGCTTCGAAAAACTGTGACCGCTAGTTGTGCTTTCGGTCTGAAATCAGCTTTGGCAGTTTCTAAAAGGAAGGGTATCGAGCAGTTACTGTGCCCTATGATTTTCGACGTTCTTCTTAGACCAGGCCTATCCATAACAGGCTCTACAGCCTACGGACCCTTTGAGATTCTCAGAGTCAGCTCATGTATCGTACGCACCATCCTGAGTAGAAATCCTTCCGGTTCAGCAAAGCTTCGCCCTTTTGACGTCGATTTATTATGTGATATCAGACCGGCTTGGAAGGATAAGAACATCGTTTCGTATTGTGCACCTCCAGATCATGTCTCAGAGCAACATTGGCGTGACTAATGAGCACAAACTGGTTCACTGATTTTTCACGGAAGTAAATGTGCGGCGTACCCTGGGACAAAAAGCTTTTGGGCCTTTTCCTCCTGAATTTCCGGTATTAAAGTACTTTTCATCGTCTTTTGATACCATGAACTGAAAACGTCATACCTGACCATCAGTAGTGTTGAAAGCTCGATTTAATTATTTATGGATTTTCAGTCGAAACTCTGATGTGCTCATGAAACCAATCCATTTACAAAAGCAAAACGATCGCTTCACAACGGAGTACAATAGTCGAGCCAGCAAGTTTGGAGACGACTTACGGCTACCTAGGTTACCAACAGAAAAACGAAAGAAGAAGCACAAGTGAGTTCATTTTTCTGTTTTCCAAAGTGTGTGACATAAGGTCCAGCTTTTGTCTGCGATAAGGTAATGTTGGGAGCGCTACTTATATGTATTAGTATTGAGAATAGACCTTGCTGGTCCTGAAAGATAAAGTATCAAGACACCTTATCAATAGGATTTTTAAAGTCGAACATTGTTATTGTTTTTGTTTACACCATGAGGTTCATCAAGAAAGAGACTCAATAGAAGAAATTGCTATTCCCTGTTCTGTTCATCGGATGTGTATAATACAGGGGCTGAAGAATTCGAGTGAGTGTCCATAGGGCCTGGTTCAAACCCGCTGCTGACTTGCTGTGTTTTCAATCCTTCCCATTCCTTTCTCAGAATAGCTCATCCGGCCGACTTGTAAAAGGACCTATTTTGTCCCAATGTTGTGATTGGACTCCAAAAAGTATCGGGAAACTCGAGTGTATGAAGGTGGAGGACCAACATTCGTGATTGGGAATGCGTTGGTCTTACCTTGGGTGTGGTGCGTTAGGAACGAAATGGTCGCGTCG